GTCGATGTCCGTCTGCCTCCAAATAAACCCCCGTTTCCCTAACTACCTGGCTGCTCTCGACTGCTTCCCTGCTCGCCTACCCGCGAATCGTGACAGAATGACGAGTCTCCACGACAACATGACGCGGGAGACCGAGCACCACCGGCTCGGTCTCCTGCAAGATTTCGTGTATTGGCAATCCCAGCCCGAGGTCCTGGAGGATCCGGTAGCCCTGGAGCTGGCCACCCGGGGCGCGGACCTCCTCAAGGAAGAGCGCCCGCCCGGACAACAGTACCCGCTGCAGAGGGCACGTAAGTGCCTTCGCCGCCTGAGCCAGCGCTTGGTTAGCAGCCGGGAGAAGCGGAGCAGAGAGCTGGCGGAAGCAGCTCCCACGCTCTACCTAGGAGCCTACTCTCTGCTCCCCGCCTGGGAGGACACCGCCGCAACCAGCCTGGCCAGCTTCCCGCCGGAGAAGCCGCCTCCCTTAGAAGCGTACTTCTACCGGCCGGAGCGTCTGGGACACGGAGGAATACGCGCCGTGAGAGACGCTGTTCCCCGGGTGCCGAGAGCCCTTAAAGGAACAGCGCCAACACGCTCGGCATCCCTCCTGCCTGCTCCGGACCTGCATGCTCCGGACCTGCCCGCGGCTGCGCTGCCTGCCGCCGCCGCCGATCTGCCCGCGGCTGCGCTGCCTGCCGCCGCCGCCGATCTGCCCGCGGCACCGCCTGCTGCTGCTGCCGCCCCTCTGCCCGCGGCTGCGCTGCTTGCTGCCTCCCTCCTGACTCCCGCGCCCTTACCCCGGCAAGGCCGACGCCCCCCAGGACCCCGCCTGTCAGTGTCCCGAAAGGGACGGGGCCATAAGCGTGGGGCCCGGTTCCCGCCCGCCCTGCCCCCTGGCTCGCCCTCGCTCGCCTTGGCTGGGGCTCCGGGGCCGCCTGCGGTTCCTCCGGCTCGGGGTCGGCGGTCGCCTTCGGGTCCCCCCCTGGATCCGCGGTGCCGGTCCTCGGTCGCGCCTCCGGCTCCATGTCGGTCGCCTCCGGGGCCCCCTGCTCCGGCTGGGCGTCGGACGGCGCCTTCCCCGGCTTCGGCTGCGCCTCCGCCTGCCGCGGCTTCCCCCTCCTGCCTGCCTTCACTGGTGTTCCCTCCTGCTCCCTCCG